CCTTCCTTTCTCCCTTCCCTTCCCTCCCTCTTTTCTTTCTCCCTTCCCACCCTCTTTCTTCTCTCTCTTTTATTTCTTTCTTTTCTTTCTTGTCTCCCTTCTCTCTCCCTTCCCTCCCTTTCTTTTTCTTTCTTTCTCCCTTCCCTCCCTCCCTCTTTTCTTTCTTTCTCTCTTTCTCCCTTCCCTTCCCTCCCTCCCTCTTCTTTCTTTCTTTCTTTCTCTCTCGCTTTCTCTCTCCCTTTTCTTTCTTTTTCTTTCTTGTCTCCCTTCTCCCTCTCTCTCTCCCTTCACTTCCTCCTTTCCTCTCTCTCTCTTTTTCTTTCTTTCTCACTTCCCTCCCTCCCTTCTTTTTTCTTCCTTCCTCCCTCCCTCCCTTTCTTTCACTTTCTTTCTCCCTTCCCTTCCCTCCCTTTCTTTCTCCCTTCCCTTCCCTCCCTTTTTCTTTCTTTCTCCCTTCCCACCCTCTTTCTCTCTCCCTTTTCTTTCTTTCTTTTCTTTCTTGTCTCCCTTCTCTCTCTCTTTCTCCCTTCCCTCCCTTCCTTCCCTCCCTCCCTCTTTCTTTCTTTTTCTTCCTTCCTTCCTTCCTTTCTCCCTTCCCTTCCCTCCCTTTTCTTTCTCCCTTCCCATCCTCTTTCTTTCTCTCCCTTTTCTTTCTTTCTTTTCTTTCTTGTCTCCCTTCTCTTTCCCTCTTTCTCCCTTCCCTCCCTTTCTTTTTCTTTCTTTCTCCCTTCCCTCCCTCTTCTTTCTCTTTCTTTCTCTATTCTTTCTTTTCTTTTTCTTTCTCCCTTCCCTCCCTCCCTCTCTTTTCTTTCTTTCTCTTTCTTTCTCCCTTCCCTCCCTCTTCTTTCTCTTTCTTTCTCCATTCTGACCCCAAACAAAAACTCCTTTGGATGAAGCCGGCATACTTAATGCCCCCCCTCCCTTCCCTTCCAATTCGTTATCAGGGAAGCACGATCAGGTGCAGGGGAGTTTCCACCCCTCCCCTTCCATCTCCTAACAAGTGCCTGAGACCGTTTGGCTGCAGCACCTCCCCCAATTCCCACCCCACCCCTGCGATCGATCGCACCGTGGGTTCTGGCTGCCAGCATTGGCAGCTAGCCGATTGGTTGGCGGCTAACTGTCCTGGGTGGCGAAAGCCCAGGACAACCCTGCTTTGGCGAATGGGCCATGCTGAAGCACGTAGGAAGGAGGGGTTGTGGCCCATTGGCCAGGGCGAACGAATGGGGGCGTGTCAGCTGAGGAGAAAAGCTAGCTGTGAATGCACCAAGTCAGAATCGTGGTGTAGAAGCAGGTGCGGCCAAGGGTAGGAGCCAAAAAGTCCTAAAGCCGAATGTTTTCCCCAATATTTGGTTATTATTGTACAGCCTTATAAAAGAACCTCGGGTGGAGAATTTGAATGAGCATGGCTAAAAAAGAGCATGAATCAATATTTAATACTGGTGGGGAAATCACCCTAAGTCATAGTGTCCTTGTTTCCTGTGAGAAAATAATAGGTTTTCCCCCCTCCCATTTACTTTACTAGGTCTTGGGTATTTCTCAGCTCTGTTTAGTTAGAATGTTTTACTTTCAGATAAGGATAACCTTGGCCCAGGTTATCATAGTTTCTTTAACTACCTCCTCCTCCATTTTATATCTCAATAAATAATTGTAAACTTTCTTAATCAATTTGTCCTCTGTGCCTCGTAAAATCTTATCTAATTCTTGTTCTTTTTGAAATCCATATTGTTCTAAGTCCTTCCTGTATCTAGTTTGGATCTGCATGTATGGCCACCAATCGATGCCTATGCCCTGTTCTTTTAATTCTTGTCTTGTTTTCAGTACCCCCTGGCCAATTAGTAGATCTTTATATCTTTTTATTTTATTGATGTCCAATACGTTTGGGTAAATTAATGCCTCCATCGTTGATAGCCAATCTGGAATTTTGATATAATGATTTTTCTTTATTCCCTTGCCATACTTGTAGCAGCGCGTCTCTAATTAAATGTCTCTGGAATTAGCTATGAAGTTTATTTTTCCCATCCCATTATGGTGGAACAGGCAACAAATAAAATAAAATAATAAATAAACACGGGTCCAGCTAAATAGTCACTGAAGGGCCCTCTTTGTTCTTAATACTGTAAGAGAAAAATTGCTTGCAATTATATTCAGAACACAAGCAGGGACATTCCTTTCCGGTAGGACGCTTACTTCAAGGCCTCTCAGTTGTTACAGATAAGAACAGTCTAGTGATTTACACCTTGAAGGTCAAAGTAACAGAGATGTCCACATTGTTGTTTCAACAAGAGATAATTTGAAAAATATGCTTGAGTAACTTTTTAGAAGAATTATTATAACTGTTCTGCAAACTCGGTAATTAGGAAATGTCAATTAAAAATGATAAATGTATAGACCATATGAATTGCTGACTCCACAGAGTCCTTTGTTTGAAACTGTATAAAAGTTCTGAGTAGGTAATCACATGGCGTTCAAATCTCCTCTTGATAGGTTTGATCCTTTATTGCAATAAATAATTAAACTGATTCTGTCTGCTCTATTGGGATGTTTCTTAATTTCTCATCTCCACAACATCTCCACAACAATTTTGGCACCCGGCAGAGGGGACTTTGAGAAGCAGAGATTTTTTCCTTCCTAGGCGACCTGCCCCAGCGGGACCGGCCTTTTTGCATCAAAGAATCAACAGCCGGCACAAGACTCCTTTGAAAGTCTCTAGAATTCTTCGTTGGGAGACGGCCGTATGCTCGCTTGCGAAGCAGCTTCAGCCAAGGACCCACAAGAGGGCAGACAAGACCCAGTAAATACGCAGACGGCCGAAGGAAAACAGCGCCTGACAGGCAAGTAATCATTTAAACGGGGAAAAAGATAGGACTGTCTATTTTTGAGACAGAAAAGGGGATCTGATCAATCTCCTGAGAGGGAAAAACGGTGTTTTTCAACCCTCTAGATCAGGCTGTGAAGGGTGGTTAAACCAACGCAGTTTCTGAAGGTGACTGTGAGTGTCCAGCGCCCCAGATCGTTGGTAGTGTGTTAGAGATGGGAGGAAAAAACAGTGTCCAGCGGACACCGTTACAAGGCATGCTAGCCCACTTTCAAACCGCTTTTTCTGAATCTTACGAGGTCCTCCATGCAATTCTGACAATTAAAACACTTTGCCTCAATGGACAACTTTACTGCTGAAATTCACAACTCACTCAATCTTTTGACAAAGTCCATCATAACAATAATCCAAGGTGCATACATAACATAACACAGGAGGGGCTTTGGGATCAGTTTCCGTACATTGATCAGTGGCAGCTCATTCAAATGGCAAACCCCAAATGGCTTAAAAAGTATCAGTTGGAATGTGTGCGTGTGTGTGTGATGGCAGAACAGAATAAGAAAACCAAACAGGGAGTTAAAACTAAGATTTTCAGCCAGGAAGATGAGGAAGAGACAAACCGCCCCCCTCCCTATGCCCCACTTCCTGCAGCACCAAGACAAAACATTCATTCAGTGCTGCCTGCAAACATTCCACCTCGGAAACCTAATTTACAAGTCAAAAGAGAAGTTAAGAGTGAAGGAGAACAAGAGGAGGTAGAAAGCCCTGTTAGTTCCCGGACCAGATATCAGACAAGTCTTAAAAAGGTAGCAATTGTAGCTCCTTTAAGGGAGATGCTGGATCACGGACAGGACCCACAAGGCCAGCCTATTATTAGGTCATTATTACAATATCAGCCTTTTACAACAACGGATCTTTTGAACTGGAAACATCAGTACGGTCCGTTTAGCAAAAAACCCTTTGATTTTGTCGACCTCTTCAACACTCTTATGCAAACTCACCGACCCACGTGGGGAGATATCCAATTGCTGTTAAATACATTGCTTTCTATGGAAGATAGAGAGAAATTCAAACTTGCTAAAGGAAAAGTATTAAACCGCATGTTTCCTGATGCTAATCAGGCGGCCGCTAAGATAGCAGCTGCCGCAGAAATAGACCCCAACTGGGATGCTAACCACCCCCCACATCAAATGCTGCTAAATAACTACCGCCTCTTATGTGTAGAAAGTTTGAGAGAGGCTGCAAAGGGTCCTGTTAATTATGCAAAGACCGCCACTGCTTTGCAGGAAAAAGATGAATCCCCGGAAGCATTTTTAACTCGTTTGATTGAATCTTATAAAACTCATACAGGCATAAATGTTGAGGATCCTGCAAACAGATTTATGTTAAATGAAAGGTTTATCAGCCAGAGTGCTCCTGATATCAGACGCAAACTTCAAAAGCTAGAGGGCGCTCTTGGCAAAAATACTTCTGAATTGCTAGAAGTTGCTAAGAAGGTTTATTTGAACAGAGAAAGAGAGGAAGAGAAAAGACAAGTTGCTAAGGACAGAAAGCAGATGGAAATGTTAGCTTTGGCGCTCGGTGGGGTCATTTTAGGACCAACTCAGTGCGCATTTTGTGGGAAAATGGTCATTGGAAGAAAGAATGTCCCCGTAGAAGGATGGAACCCAGAGAAGTATCCTACGGGCGTGGATTTCAGATGGTGAGAGGAAGTCATAGAGGAGGATTTAATGGAAGGTCTGTGAGAGGGAATATGAGAGGAGTTTTCAGAGGAAGAAGAGGAAATGAGAGGCAATTTATTTCACCCAGCCAGTCAACCCAGAATCCAGAAGTTATCGGCTTAGCTGATATGGACTGGGACGATTGAAGCTGCCTAAGCTCCGCGGCTTCACCCCACCCCCTGGAGCCATTGATGGATTTATGGGTGGGAAAACATCGCGTACACATGCTGGTTGATACCGGAGCCAGTCGATCAGTAATTAACACACAAGTGGCTCCTTTGTCAGCTAAGAAGATTAGAGTCCAAGGCGTTTCTGGCAATGCAGTTACACACAGTCTCCTGAAACCAATTAAATGTAAAGTTGGAAACGGCTTAGTAGAGCATCAATTTTTGTACATGCCTAATTGCCCAGTTCCACTGATAGGCAGAGATTTGCTTTCTAAACTACAAGCCACTATCTCTTTCAATGATAATGGACAGTACTTAACAGTAACACACCCAGTGGAAGAAACGTGGCGATTAATGCTAATGCAAGACACACTCATTGAAAGCAATTGGGAGAAATTCAATGTTCCTACCTTGTGGGCAGAAGACAATCCCCCTGGGCTTGCTATATTTGCATCTCCAGTTGAAGTCAAGCTGAAACCAGGATGCCAGCCCATTAGAATACCCCAGTATCACATTCCACAGGATGCAGCTACAGCCATCCAAGTCTTAATTGACAAATTCTTAGCTGCAGGCATATTAAAGGAAACTAAATCCCCATGGAACACTGCAATATTACCCATAAAAAAAACCAGATGGGGGGTTTAGACCTGCACAAGATTTAAGACCCATCAATAACCGGACTGTAACGCTTCATACAATTATGTCTAATCCATATATTTTGCTTGGAACTATCCCTCCTTCAGCAACATGGTTTTCAGTCATAGACTTGAAGGATGCTTTTTTCACAATTCCCTTACATCCTGATAGCCAGGATCTATTTGCCTTTGAGTGGAAAGACCCTAACTCACGTCGCCATTCTCAATATACATGGACTAGGTTGCCTCAAGGGTTTAAAAATTCTCCAACTCTTTTTGGTCAAGCCCTTGCTTTGGACTTACAACACTTTCACCCAATTCAGGAAGGTGATTGTCTCCTTCAATATGTAGATGATGTCCTAGTGACAGGAACCACACAGGAGAATTGTTTCAAAAATACCCAAATGCTTCTGGAATTACTGAGAGACTGTGGTTACAGGGCATTCAGAAAAAAAGCACAATTAGTTAAAAAGGAAGTTACATATTTGGGATATAATTTGTCTCAAGGCCAAAGAAACTTGGGCTTACCTAGAAAACAGGCAATTTTACAGCTGCCCCCACCTAAAACCTGAAAGGAATTGAGAGGCATTTTGGGAGTCATGGGCTTTTGCCGTTTATGGGTCCCTAATTTTGCTCTCCTGGCCAAGCCTTTGTATTCATCGACTCGAGGCGCCGAAAACGATCCTTTTGAATGGGGCAAGGAGCAAGTAAATTTCTTTGAGCAATTAAAGACACTTCTCACATCCTGCCCTGCTCTCGGCTTGCCAGATCTCACTAAGCCCTTTCGTCTCTATGTAGACGTCCGTCATAATGTGGCTTTAGGGGTGTTGACACAACAGCATGGGTCATGGCAACGGCCTGTAGCTTACTTATCTAAACAACTTGATGCCCCGGCCCAGGGATGGCCGCACTGTCTTAAAATGCTGGCTGCTGTCTCAGAACTTGTGAAAGATACAAACAAACTGACTTTTACTTCAGACGTAGCAGTTTATACATCACATGCTCTGCAAACTATTTTAGAACATAAAGGACATTTGTGGTTGAGTAACCAACGGCTGCATACATATCAAGTACTCTTGCTAGACAATCCTCAAATTACTCTTCATCAATGTGCAACCATTAACCCGGCTACCCTCATGCCTATCCCAGATGCATCTCTCCCACTGCATGACTGTTTATATGTTTTAGATCATCAATATTCCTGCAGACCGGATTTAACTGACACCCCTCTTTTACATGCCCAGCTCACTTGGTTCACGGACGGATCCAGCTTTGTAGAACACGGGACTAGATATGCGGGCTATGCAATTGTTAGTATAAAAGGGGTCATTGAAAGTTCGTCCCTTCCTGTGGGCACCAGCGCACAAGCAGCAGAATTATGGGCTCTTATCCGTGCATTGGAATTAGCCTCAGGCAAAACTCTTAACGTCTACACTGACAGTAAATATGCCTTTTTGACTATTCAAGCACATGCTGCTATTTATAAAGAAAGGGGCTTCACTGATTCTTTGGGCAAATTAATACAACATGCCTCTTTAATCAAAAGGTTGATCAAAGCTGCACAGTTTCCCAAGTCTTTAGCTGTTATCCATTGCCCAGGTCATCAGAAAACAGACACCCTCATTGCCCAAGGCAATCGATTTGCTGATAAAGAAGCTAAACTTGCAGCACATCAGCCTATAGACAAAACGAATTCTCATCTCTATTTGGCACATGAAATTGAATCATACATTGAGAAATCCCATCCAACCTATACACCTGTGGAAAGGGAAAAAGCTGTTGGGGATCTCAAAGCCACTCTTGTGAGGGGATGGTACACACTTCCAGACAATCGCCCAGTGATACCAGTTTCCCTTGCTTGGCCCCTAGTAATGGAAGCACATCAAACATCACACATCGGCAAAACTGCTTTGGCCCAGCAATTACAGGCTGCTTTTTACATTCCTAATTTGCAGAGCCTGGTGGCCAAGGTCACTTCTCAGTGTTCGACTTGTGCTCAAGTAAATGCCAGGCAAGGACCACGTTTACCTGAAGGACAACAGCCCATCTCTTACTTGCCAATGGACTATTTAGTAGTAGATTTCACTGATATGCCCAGATGCAATGGTTATAAAGCTTTGCTCACTTTTATTGACACGTATTCTGGTTGGCTGGAAGCCTTCCCTACTCGAAACAAGTTAGCTATACAAGTTGCACGCTTTCTTTTAAAGGAAATAATTCCAAGATTTGGCTGCCCATCCCACATCAGTTCTGATAATGGCCCTGAATTTGTACAACGTATAAATCACCACTTAGCTGAAGCAGCAGGTGTAAAGTGGAGATATCATTGTTCTTTTCGTCCTCAATCGGCTGCGAAAATTGAGAGAGCTCATCGCTCATTGAAAGCAATCATTACCAAGTTGTGTCTAGAAACACATTTGCCATGGCTTCAAGTTTTTCCTATGGCTTTGTACATTTTTAGAACTACCCCACGAACCAAATACCAGTTATCTCCTTTTGAACTTTTATATGGAAGACCCCCGGCTTTGTTCAAACACCATTTTCAAGGTTGGCCTGATTAGCTCAGAAAGGGGGAGTGGAAGCCAAAAGATTACTTTTGCAGTTACAACAACATAACAATCATGTTAACCAATTAAGGCATTATATGCAGGAGTGCAGACCACCCCCTATTACAACAGCAGGTCATGATTACAAGCCAGGTGATAGAGTGTGGGTGAAACATTGGAAAGATGAACCTTTAAAGCCTAGATGGAAAGGACCATATACTGTTGTGATGTGTTCACCTCTTGCAGTTAAAACGCTAGAAGGCAAATCCTGGATCCATTGGACGAGGCTGAAACCGGCGAACCAGGCTGATCCAGTGACGTACGAGGTGATACAGATGGAGAAACCCCTAGTGCTGAGATTTAAGAAGAAGAACACGCCCTGCTGAGTCCTACCAGCAACCGGCTCTCTACGCACGGTGGTGATCGTCAGCCCTGCTGAATCACTCCGGAAGCTGATTCTCTACGCACGGCGGAAGATTCATCAGGAGGAAACGACCTTCACAGTGCACATATACATTTTCTTAGCTTTAATATAACTCTTTCTTACACATGCTAATGTTATTAGAAGTTTGGGAGTACGTTTTGTGGGTATTTGTTTTTCTAATCTTGCTAGTAATTTTGTTTTATATATATAAGGAACGTTTTTGTGGTAGACCTAGGATTTTTCTTGCTACTGCTATATCCCAAACCACACGCCCCACTAACCCTCTCCCTAACGTTGTGAGCTACACACCACAGTGATTATGTTTTGTTTATGGCTTTGGACATTATTTGCTCTTGCATTCTCAAGTAACCATGTAGGGAACATTGATTCCCTAGATGACTACACTTTAGGTCAAGTTCACTCACGCCAAAAACGCATTGTATATGCACGAGGTCGTTACCTTAGACCTAAGACAACTCCACCACCTAAGGTTCCTATCTTGACATACCCAGCTGAGGGGGGAGTAGATAAGGAAAATGGGCCTTTGCAACAATTACATAGAGGAGATTATATATCACGGATTCTGGAATTAAGTCAAGATCTTGTTAATCAGTATAACCCTACCCTAGGTCAGAAATGCTGGTTATGTCTATCTGCTGACCCTACATCTTATCATGCTATTCCTGTAAAATCACAACTTTGGGTCAAAACAAAGGCTACAATTCTCCTTGAAAGGGATAGTAGAGATAAAGTACCTGTCTCACCAATACAAGGAGATTTTTATGAAGCATTCAAACGATTGGGAAAAAGTCGTCTTCCTATCACAGGCCCAATTGCTACAGGTGTAGACCTCATAGGAACACCTTCTTTGTGTGTAAAGAGACATCAGAAACGTGGAAGGCCTGTAGGATCCCTGACAGACGAACAATGTCAGTCAATAATATATTTTGGCCCTAAAATAAACTTGGTGGACATAAAATTAACAAAGGGAATTTTTCCCTCTGCTTACTGCAAATTTCAACAAAGGGTTACTTTCACAGCTCCACCTGAACTGAACTTTAGAAAGGAAAGGTGGGGTGGAGGGAATCTGTCCTTTGAAAGCTGTCCAAGACCATTTCGACCTCCAAGATTTCCCCTTTGGTTCAACTTACAATCCAAATCAGGTTTATGTATCCTTTTTCCACCTGGAAATACTACCTCTCGATATGTTTTTGAAGGTCCAATCCTCAGAGATAAGCAGACAGACCCTTCACTAGAAATCCCATTACAACCTTTAGCAGGGATGTTTATAGCAGGTACTCTAGGTGTTTGGACTAATGAAAACAACCGAAGAATCCATGCCTTTTCCATGAACATCGGAATATGCGTGGAAGAAAAAGGAGTGTTTTTTCTGTGTTGAACTAATGCATATTTGTGCATACCAACAAACTGGACTGGAACTTGTACATTGGCCCACCTTTTTCCTAAAATAGGTGTGGTCAGTGCAGAGCATGCTATTCCTGTTCCCCTTTTGGGACATGTCCAGAAGAGGGTCCCTATACTCATCCCACTGTTAGTGCTTATAGGCATGGGTACAGCTGTTGGAACAGATATAGCCGGAATCACACACTCAGTAATTCAATTTAGACAAATCTCAGAAGAGCTACAAGGAAGTTTGAATCGAATCGTTGGCACTTTGATAGAGGTCCAAAATCAGATAGACTCCTTGGCAGCAGTGGTGTTACAAAACCGACGTGCCTTAGACCTCCTGACAGCAGAAAAAGGAGGAACATGTATATTCTTAGGTGAAGATTGTTGTTTCTACATGAACAAATCAGGTGTGGTCAGAGAAGGTGCTCGGGAATTACAGGATAGGGCTTCCAAGATAAGTCAGAGGTTACAAGCTTCTGACATGTGGTTTTCTTGGGTGCCTGGGTCCGGCTGGATTAAGCAAATGATATTTTTCATTCATTCCATGTGTAATACCACTCCTCAGACAATTATCCATAAAAGCAGTAAAGGAACTTAAAGTTGAGAGGGAACTAGCTCTGACAGAACAATTTCTTAATCAACTTGGTTCCTACCCTATGGAAGGACCTACAGATCCTGCTGTAGATCCATATGTGGAAATGGGACCAGTGGAAAGATGGAGAGAATCTTCCTAAGACTTAGAAGAATGGAAACAATCATATATAATCTTTTATATGCCTTTAATTCTTATATTTTGTTAGCATTTTTATATCATAGAGTTGTTTATTGGAACTTTTTATACTCAGTAGTTATACTTATAAGTAAGTTGTGAGAGTTTATGCTTAAGACAAACTCTCAGAGGGGGGAGTATGGTGGAACAGGTAACAAATAAAATAAAATAATAAATAAACACGGGTCCAGCTAGATAGTCACTGAAGGGCCCTCTTTGTTCTTAATACTGTAAGAGAGAAATTGCTTGCAATTATATTCAGAACACAAGCAGGGACATTCCTTTCCGGTAGGACGCTTACTTCAAGGCCTCTCAGTTGTCACAGATAAGAACAGTCTACGTGATTTACACCTTGAAGGTCAAAGTAACAGAGATGTCCACATTGTTGTTTCAACAAGAGATAATTTGAAAAATATGCTTCAGTAACTTTTTAGAAGAATTATTATAACTGTTCTGCAAACTCGGTAATTAGGAAATGTCAATTAAAAATGATAAATGTATAGGACCATATGAATTGCTGACTCCCAGAGTCCTTTGTTTGAAACTGTATAAAAGTTCTGAGTAGGTAATCATATGGCGTTCAAACCTCCTCTTGATAAGTTTGATCCTTTATTGCAATAAATAATTAAACTGATTCTGTCTGCCCTATTGGGATGTTTCTTAATTTCTCATCTCCACAACATCTCCACAACACCATAGAAAGGCATGCCATCCTATCTGCAAGTCATGCCCTTCTAATGTCAAAGTCCTATTATTTTTTAATTCTATCCAGTCTTTAATCCAAGTGAGTGTCGTTGCCTGGTAATATGTCGTTGCCTCCCAGTCTGGGAGCCCGATGCCTCCTCTTTCTCTACTATCCTGCAGTAATTTTGTTTTGATCCTAGGTTTTTTCCCTTGTCAGATATATTTCGCTATTAGTTTGTTTAAGTTTTCAAAAAAATTCTTCCCCAATTTTATTGGTGCTACTTGGAAAAAGAACAATATTCTTGGTAAAATGTTCATTTTGATAGAGGCTATTCTTCCTATGAGAGATAATTGTAATTTTTTCCACGTTTCCAAATCCGTTTTTATCTATAGTATTAATTTGTTATAATTGTCCTCTTTAATTGATGTACATTTAGCTGATAACCATATTCCTAAATATTTTACTTTCGCCTGTATGCCCATTCTGTCTTCCAATTCTCTTTCCTGTTTTTTGGTGAGGTTTTTCGTTATTGCCTTTGTTTTGGATTTATTGATTTTAAGTCCTGCTACTCTACCATAATCTTCTATTTGTTGCACTAATTTAGATTCTGTCTCTAATGGTTGTTCTAAAATAAATACTAAATCGTCTGCAAATGCTTGGACTTTATATTCTTTTTTTATTTATTTTCTTTTTTTTATTTTCAGGCCCTTTATTTCTTGTTTGCCTCTAATTTTTATTAGCAATACCTCTAAAGTTAGGATAAATAATAAAGGTGATAGCTGGCAATCTTGTCTCACTCCCTTTGCAATGTTAAATCTTTCAGTGGTGTCTCCGTTTATTATTATCTTTGCTGTTTGTATTGAATATATTTTTTCAACCATCCTTACAAATTTCTCACCAAAATTCATGTTTTCCAAATGTAAAATAATAAACCTCCAATTTAAGTTGTCGAAAGCTTTTTGGGCATCTAGGAAGATTAATGCAGCTTGTTTTCCAGGATGGGCTTCGTAGTACTCTAATGTGTTTATTATTGTTCTCATATTATTTTTTATTTGTCTTCTTAGTAAAAATCCATTTTTGAATCTTTCCAAAATTATAGATGCAAATATTTTGTAATCCGCATTCAGTAGTGAAATGGGTCTGTAATTTTTAATCTGTTGTTGGTCTGAATCTTCTTTTGGGATGAGAGTGATAAGTGCTTCTGTCCAAGAATTAGTATTTTAGCTTCCATAAGTGCTTCATTAAATATTCCCAACAATAATTCATCTAACGGTTCCTGTATAGCCTTGTATAGCTCCACCGGAATTCCATCTGGGCCTGGTGTTTTATTGTTTTTTTTGCTGCTTTCTCGCCTCCACTAATTCCATCATAGTTATTGTTCTCTTGCACCTTCTCTTTCTATTCATTCTTTTTCCTGTTTCCTGTTTTCTTCTTGTTACCCCTCATTCTCCTCTGTTTGGTATTCCTCTTGGCTCCTGCTCTCAACTTCTTCTCTGCTCTCCTGCAGAGAAGAAGTTGAGAGCAGGAGCTCTCCTTTGATCTCTTCGTGATTCCTTTTTGTCTCTTCACGATTATTTGCTATTGCTTCTTGTGTTTTGGTCATTGCCTCTTGTATCATTAATAGTGTAGCTTGTATACTCTGGATGTTCAGCGTTGAGCCTGATTTCTCTGTTCCCAACATCCTCTCTATTGACTGTTGGTGTGCAGGCAATGAAGTTGTAGATGCAGGGTTTGG